TTTAAAGAAATCCTCGTTGTTCAAGAAGAAAGTCTTTTACTAAAATTATTTAGAGAAGATATCATGTCTGCATCTTGTCCTCTGAATAACTACTATGAAGATAACATTATGCAAGGTATTAATTTTTTTTTGATGTTTCTTGCTTTGCACCTGTGGCCCAGGATGGCTTTTGCTACTCTGCATCTGTTCTGCTCTGACATTTTCTCTAGTTCTATGAGGGACACTGTTTAGTATTTTTATTCAGATTTCACTGAATCATTACATCCGTGGGGTGTTTGACCATTTTGGTAATATCTGTAGAGATTTCTAAGTGGTGGTCGGTTATTATACTCAGATGAATTAAAATGGCATGCTTCTGGGTGTGGGAGGCCCACCTGAGGCTTGTTGCCAACAGCATAAAAGGCAGAACAGGAGAAAATGCCAAAACGCTCTGAGGCATGTTGTTTGGAGAAGCTGTTGGAGATGTTGAGAGCTGCGAGTTCTCTTAAGCTGCTCAACCAGAGGACCTTGTCATGCTGGTTTTCCTGATGAACTATGGAGGAGCTTTGGTCCTCATCTCGAGCATCGCTTCCTATCTCTGGAGGGGAAGATGGTGCACTGCTCAGCCTCACAGAAAAACTTGAGGCACTGGCTTTCCTGATGGGAACTCAGCTTTCCTCATCACTGGAGGAGCTCGAGGCATCATTGTGAAGATGGCTGTGGTAATTTTGGGGGAGCTCTGGTGCTTACCTTGAATTTTGCTTCCTAGCTCCAGTTCAGATTCCTTAGCTTGTTAGCACAGATTCTTCCTGCCACTGGCATAGACTTCCTAGCTTCCACCACTGACCTTTGGGCCTTTTCCAGCACAGATCCATGACAGAGACCATCATGAGACTTTGTTCTGGGCTTTACACCTCCAGTTGAATTTTTGGGAGGCATTGTTATGAGCTCTATATTTTTAGTATGACTCATGGAGGATTTTAGGATCTAGGAGAAGTCTTTAGTGTTTATGCTTGGAAAGTATTCCTTCACTTCTTGTATATGATTCTTTTTTGTTGTTGTTGTTTTTTGAAATTTAAAGAAAAAAATTATTGAAGATCTGAAAAACAATTCCTAAAAGATTGACTTTTCCAGAAAACTGTAGCTA